GGGTCTAGCTTAGGTCAGTCGTCGGGTCATAGTAGACATGGTTCTGGCTCAGGACATTCTTCCAGCCATAGTCAGCATGAGTCTGGCTCAGGTCAGTCTTCTGGTCATAGTAGACATGGGTCTGGCTCAGGTCATTATTCCAGCCATAGTCAACATGAGTCTGGTTCAGGACAATCATCTAGCTGTGGTCAACATGGGTCTAGCTCAGGTCAGTCTTTTAGCTATGGACAACACGGGTCTGGTACAGGTCATTCCTCAAGCCAAAGCCAACGTGGGTCTGGTTCAGGACAGTCATCTACCTGTGGTCAACAAGGATCCAGCACAGGTCAATCTTCTAGCTATGGTCAACATGAATCTAGCTCAGGTCCAATTTCTGGTTATGAACAACACAGGTCTGGTTCAACTTGGTCTTCTGGCCATCGTGGACAAGAGTCTGGCTCAGGTCATTCTTCCAGTCACAGCCAACATGGGTCTGGTCCAGGACAGTCATCTAGCTGTGGTCAACAGGAATCTAGCTCAGGTCAGTCTTCTAACTATGGTCAGCATGGGTCTGGCTCAGGTCATTATTCCAGCCATAGCCAACATGGGTCTGGTTCAGGACAGCCATCTAACTGTGGTCAACAAGGATTCACCTCAGGTCAGTCTTCTAGCTATGGACAACAGGGGTCTGGTTCAGGTCATTCTTCAAGCCATAGCCAACATGGGTCTGGCTCAGGACAGTCATCTAGCTATGGTCAACAAGGATTCAGCTCAGGTCAGTCTTCAAGCTATGGTCAGCATGAATCTGGTTCAGGTCAGACTTCTAGTCATAGTAGCCATGGGTCTAGCTCAGGTCATTATTCCAGTCATAGCCAACATGGTACTGGATCAGGACAGTCATCTAGCTGTGGTCAACAAGGATCCAGCACAGGTCAATCTTCTAGCTATGGTCAACATGAATCTGGCTCAGGTCCAATTTCTGGTTATGAACAACACAGGTCTGGTTCAACTTGGTCTTCTGGCCATCGTGGACAAGTGTCTGGCTCAGGTCATTCTTCCAGCCATAGCCAACATGGGTCTGGTCCAGGACAGTCATCTAGCTGTGGTCAACAGGGATCTAGCTCAGGTCAGTCTTCTAACTATGGTCAGCATGGGTCTGGTTCAGGTCATTATTCCAGCCATAGCCAACATGGTACTGGATCAGGACAGTCATCTAGCTGTGGTCAACAAGGATCCAGCTCAGGTCAGTCTTCGAGCTATGGTCAGCATGAATCTGGTTCAGGTCAGACTTCTAGTCATAGTAGCCATGGGTCTAGCTCAGGTCATTATTCCAGCCATAGCCAACATGGTACTGGATCAGGACAGTCATCTAGCTGTGGTCAACAAGGATCCAGCACAGGTCAATCTTCTAGCTATGGTCAATATGGGTCTGGATCAAGCCAATCATCTGGCTTTCGCCAACATACATCTGGCTCTGGTCAGTCTTCAAGCTGTGGTCAACATGGTTCTAGTTCAGGTCAGTCTTCTGGCTATGGTCAACACAGGTGTGCTTCTAGTCAGTATTCTGGCCATAGTAGACATGGGTCTGGCTCAGGTTGTTCTTCAAGTAATAGCCAACATGAGTGTGGATTAAGACAGCCATCTAGCTGTGGTCAACAAGGATCTAGTTCAAGTCAGTCTTCTAATTATGGTCAGCATGAGTCTATTTCAGGTCAGTGTTCTAGCTATAGCCAACCTAGGTGTGGATCAGGACAATCATCTTACCCTGGCTCACATGGATCAGGCTTAGGCCAATGTTCTAGTCACAATCAACATAACTCTGGCACAGGTCAATGGTCTAGCTCTGGTCAGTATGGGTCTGGGTCTTGTCACTCATCTTGTTCTGAACAATATGATTCTGGATCTGATCAATGTTCTAGCTATGAGCAACATGAATTACAAGGTAGATATAGGGCAGGTTCAAATGGATCTCATAATGAGTGTAATAGACCCAGTGTAGGCTCCATCCCTAATAATTCAAGAAGAAACCACCAGCAATGGACAAGGAATAACCAAAAAGAGAGAAGTAGGAATCACAGCGTATCAGGTAGCGAGTCTGGTGATTCTGAGTGCATTCATGGACAATCTAGAACATATAGGCAACAAAGTCAGGGATGTAGTCAGGGTCAGTGGGAACCTACCTGCAGACATTCAAGTGGTAATGAAGGACAATCAGGAAGTAGTTCTAAACAAGTAGAAAGTTCCTCGGGTTGTGGCTTTGGACAATGTACACCCTACTATGGACAGTCTACATCCAGTACTACCAATAAATTATCTGTTAGCAATGAGGTATATAGACAAGGGGGCAATTGTTATCTGATAGGAAATAGCTATGGAAAAGACAGTACAGGCCCAAGTTCTCCGAGTTTCCGTAGTAGCACTCCACTCTATGAATATGTCCAAGAGCAGAAGCGCTGTTTCTAAGGAAGAATAATAAAGAAAGGGGAAATCAACTCCTAATAGCAACTAGAGAAATAAGAAACTGCTATACACAAGCAATTAATCATGATACGTCTTTCTATTTTT